CGACTTTAAAATTAAGTTGTATATATGACATAAAGGTTTTAACAAATACTGAAGACAATCAATCACTAAAAATGCCGGTATATCATCCGGACCACAAACGAAATTTGGTTTAATTTTTTTCGCAGCTTTTAAAATATCACAGTCATTAATCACAGGCAGGTTGAATATGAGATTGTTATCACAGACAGAATTATCACAGATGGAATTATCACAAATAGGATTATCACTTACTAAAGAGCATCGGCAGCTTCCGCAGTATTCACAGTTAATTTTATTACAACTTGATGCAACACAGGGTTTATGGTTGTCATTGGTGTAAACACTTGCGAATTGTGATGCAAATGCGTTCACTATGTCTTGCGGATTAGATATTATAACACCATCACCAGCTGTCATGCAACTGGGAACACAAGTAGTTTTCCTCCTTTTATTTACGAATGACCAAAACTTCTTTGGGTCATTATGAAGTGAATTTTCAGCCTCACTGATGAAGACTTTATAAGCTTGCCGAATATTACGTCGTATGTCGCATTTTAGAATTCTTATTCTATCCAAGTAAGTTAACAATTTACTTTTCCTATAGAGATTCCATAGCCTGTGTTTTTCTTTAATGCTGGATATAATCGTTTTTGTGAACCAGGGAGGGTAATATGTCTTCGCTGATGACGAACACTTCGGAACATAAACATTTAATAATTTAAGATTGATATCATAAAAAGTAGAACATGCTGTCTCAACATCCACTGTGTCTAAAACTTCTGACCAGTCAGTTTCAATAAAGGCATTATACAATCTTACTAAATCTGCTTTACGAAAATTAAATTTTGCTGTGTTCGATGTTCTTGGAAATGGATTACTTGATTGGTCTTTGATAAATATATTGATGTCCAAGCAAGGGTGGTGAGCATCTTCACGAACTAATGGAAAATTGCTATTTGTTACTTCAGCTGAGACTTCATCAGTTGTCAAAACTATGTCCAAGATTCTGTTGTTGGAGTTTAAAACTGAATTATGTTGTTTCAAATTATTCATGGAAATGAAGTGAGAATAAATATTGAAGATGTGTGACGAGTTCCGGCCAGATGCACAATCTACTAACTCAGGTATATTAAAATCGCCTACAATAACAACCGGATTTGAAAAATCAATGGCACTTTCAATATACTCAAAGATTTGAGTGTATGCATCAACATGTAATGCTGGCGGAATGTATATCACAACGAAAGTGAAAGTACTATTACCTTGAACTTTGATACCAATAAGATCTATCTCAGGTACCGGAGAAATAAGGTTTAGTCGTTCAGCTACAAAACCAATTTTGACTGCCGCTAGTACGCCACCACCTCTTCTTTTATTTCTGTCACATCGAAAGATTTCAAAATGTTGAGGAAAAAGTTCAGCTGAAAAAACATTTTCATGAAGCCATGTTTCGGTCAGTAACAATATATCTGCTTCTATGTCACAGCAGTTGTTATAAAATTCTCGCACTTTAGAATTCAAACCACGCACATTTTGGTAAATTAGTGTATATGTTGATGTAGTATTGAGTATGTTATAATTAATAGATGACGATGAATTGGATGTCTGTTGGATGTTCATTCGTTTTTTGTTTCAACAATTTTCGGCATGCCATTGTAGTATCTTAATCGAATATTATTTTCACCATTGTCACGACGCCTTTTAAATTCCTTACGAACAGCAAAAGCCCTATTCTGTTGGAGCCGAGTTAGATCAGTATTGAAGAAAATGTTGTTACCGAAACGGTGCCGTATTAGTTTTTTAACTATATTTGGATTATTAAATTCGACTTTAATAATTCTACAACGATTTGGGATAAGTTTCCCTAAACGGGTGAGATTAAGTACACTTTGGCCCAAATCACTGGGAATTGCCGACTTTATGAGATTCATAACGATTTCCTCGTCTGCTTGTTTTTGTTGAGCTGCCTCTCCTTGGTACTCCGGAACACCTCTTATAATAACATTGTGAGACCGGTGTATTCGCTCAACAGCCTCTTCTACAGCTGCCTCCTCTACTTCTGGACCAGATTCCCCTGTTTGTTGTTTTCCAGATTTCACATGTTCGATCTCCTCTCTCAATTTTTTGTTTTCTGTGACCAACTCTTCGATAACCTTTTTCATATCATTGACGATAGCCGATAAGGAATTGATAGTTTGGACCAGGTTTTCTTGGTTAGGTAGAGTATCGTTATCAGATGTTTGAACATTTTGTTCACAGCACTTTTTTTTATCTGCACAACTTAGATGAGACCAAACACTGCAATCACTACAATAAATTCTTTTCTTAACTGCTGGGTTACCACAAACGAAGCAGAACACTTTATCGCCCTGTTGACTGTACGCCATCTTGAATTTTTAAAATTAAACATTTTTCGATTTTGCTATTTTTGATATTTTGATTTCTTGTTGGGGACATTCGATTTGCTAAATTTTTTTACTTCAATTTTTAGATTTCTCGAATTTTCAAGTTTTAAATTTTTCGATTTTGTTGTTTTGATTGATCAGTTTTTCAATTGATTTTAATTTTTTTTATTTTATTGAATTTCGATTTTTCGACACATATTTTGATTTTTCACTTTTTTAAAAATTTCAGATTTTTAGATTTCCCAATTTTTTCTTTTATTACTTTAAATTTTTCAATTTTTTAAATGTAACAATTTTTAGATTTTTCATTTTTTAGACTTTTACGATTTTTTGGTATTTTGATTTCTTACCATCTTGGTTATTCGATTTTTAAAATTTTTTGACTTCAATTTTCTAATTTTTCAAAATTTGAATTTTTGGAAGTTTTCAATCTGATTTCTCGATTTTTTTTATTCTTCAGTTTTCGATATTTTGACCATTCAATTTTTTTTTTTTTTAGTTTTAGAATTTTCGATTTATCGATTTTTTCTTTTATTTTTTAATTTTTCGAGGTTTAAAATTTTGAAATTTTAGATTTTGTATTTGTTAAATTGAACCATTTTTCGATTTTTTAATTTTTAACTTTCTCGAATTTTCAAGTTTTAGATCTCTCAATTTTTCAAAATTTCAATTTTGGAAAATTTTCGAAATCTGAATTTTTCAATTTTTACATATTTTAATCTTTCCATTTTTTGATGTTTCGATTTCTCGATTTTTCAAAATTTCGATTCTTCATTTTTTCGATATTTTGATTTTTCATTTTTTTTTAAATTGTAGATTTTTCAATTTCTCAATTTTTCGAATCAAATAAATTTTTGAGTTTTCAATTTTTCGATTTTTTAAATTTAATCATTTTTCAATTTTTTGATTTTACGATTTTTTTGGTATTTTGATTTCTTGTCAACTTGGTTCGATTTTTAACATTGTTGAATTTTCAATTACTGGATTTCTCGAATTGGAAGTTTTCAGTTTTACAGATTTTAATTTTTCAATTTTACAAAGTTTCGATTTCTCGAATTTTCGATTCTTTAATTTTTCGAAATTTTGATTTTTCAATTTCAGATTTTTCAACGTCTCGATTTTGTCTTTTATTACTTTTTAAAATTTTTCCATTTTTTAAATTGAACCATTTTTCCATTTTTTGGTATTCTGATTTCATGTCTTCTTGGTTATTTGACTTTTAAAATTTTTTGACTTCCATTTTCAGATTTCTCGAATTTTCAAGTTTTCGATTTCTCAATTGTTCAAAATTTTAATTTTGGAAAATTTTCCAACTCTGAATTTTTCAATTTTTACATTTTTTAATTTTTCGATTTTTTTCATGTTTCGATTGTTCGATTTTTCAAAATTCCGATTCGATTTTTCGATGTTTTGATTTTTCATTTTTTTTTTTTATTTTAGATTTTATAAATTAATCCATTTTTTGATTTTTCAAATTTTCGTTTGTATGATTTTTTTTAACATTCTTGTCACCTTGGTTATTCGATTTTTAAAATTTTTCGACTTTTCAATATTTCAAAATTTCCACTTTGGGAAGTTTTCAACATCTTAATTTTTCAAATTTTACATATTTTAATTTTTCAATTTTTTGATGTTTCCCTTGATTGATTTTTCAATTGATTTTGAATTCTTTAATTTTATTGAATTTCGATTTCTCGATGTTTCAAAATATCGATTCTTCAATTTTTCGAAATTTTGGTTTTTCAGTTTTTCGAATTTATAAATATGTATTTGATTTTTTGATTTTTAAATTTTTTAAATTGAACCATTTTAGGATTTTTCAATTTCACGATATTTCTTTGATTTCTTGATACGGTGCTTATTCGATTTTTAAAATTTTCTGACTTTTCAGTTCTTAGATTTATCGATTTTTCAAAATTTCAGTTCAATTTCTGAATTTTTCGATTTTTTTGGTGTTTCGATTGATCGATTTTTCAGTTGATTTGCAATTTTTCAATTTTTCGATATTTTAATTTTTAAATTTTTTTAAACGTAATTTTTTTTTTATTTTTCAATTTCCATTTTTCAGTTTTTCGAATTCTTAAATTTTTGATTTTTCAATTTATCGATTTTGCATTTTTTTGATGGTTTGACTTCTGGACATCTTGATCATTCGATTGTAAAATTTTTTTCACTTTTTGGTTTTTAGATTTCTCTATTTTTCACTCCATTTTTCAAGTTTTCCATTTTTTAATGTTTCAACATTTCAATTTTGGGAAGTTTTCCATCTCTGGATTTTTTAATTTTTACATTTAAATTTTTCGATTTTTTGATGTTTCGACTTTTCGGATTTCCATTTTTGAAATTGTCGATTTTTAAAATTTTTAATTTTCGTTTTTTCATTTTCGACTTATAAAATTTCTTCAATTTCAGTTTCTCGATTTATCGATATTCTGATGTTTCAACTTTTCGATTGTTCGATCTCTCGACATTTTGATTTCTCAAAAACATTTTTATCCTACTAATTTCGTGAGTTCTTTATTTTTTTTCTTCAAGGGTGAGGGAAGTTCTGTCGAAATAACCATAACCCTTTTTTTTTTTTTTAATTACATCACTGACATGTTCCACTTTGTGCAGGCGCAAAAGACGTGAGCAAGCTCGTCGACGGCGGCAAGCTCACCCAAGGCCGCGCCGTCACCGGCATGCGCCCCCAAACGCAACAACAGCAGCAGCCGCCGACGCAGCAGCAGCAACAGTGGCCGCCGTACCAGATGAACATGAAGCAAGCCGGGAGGCCGATCGTCAAGGCCAACAGCTTCCAGCCGCAGCAGCAACAGCAGCCGGAGCAGTTCTTCAGCCAGGCGCAGCAGCAGAAGTACTTGAGCCAGTTGCAGCAGCAACAGCAGAGAAAGCCGCCGTATCACGGTCACGGTTCGATGCCAGGTCATCTTCCTCAGTATCCCAATCCTAATAGTCAGCAGTTCTCTCAGCTAACGCAACAGCAGCTGAGGGCGCAGCACCAGCAGCACGCCAGGCCGACCAGCGTACAGCAGCCGGGGGGGCAGCAGCAGGCGTACGGCAACCAAGGGAACGCGTCCTGGCAACAGTACCTTAATCCGCAGCAGAGTAAGTTCAAACCAGGGTCGGTTAGTGTCAAAGGTGTCAAATGTCAAATTCGTAGAAGCGAAAATGTCAAAAATATCTTGATTTTTCAAGGTCATTAAAATTTCCACAAATTAATAATGTTAGATTATTGAAAATAAAAAAACTTCGACGTTAAAATGTTGAAATTTTGGAAACGTCAAATTGCAACTGTCAAAAGTTTCAGTTATTTTCTTGTGATGACAGAAAAGTGAAATGAAAAAAAAAATGCTTCAGAAATAAAATGTGTCAAATGTCAAATTTATCGAAGTGAAAATGTCAAAAATGTCTTGATTTTTTAAAAGTCATTAAAAGTTCCACAAATTAATAATATTAGATTATTGAAAATAAAAAAACTTCGACGTCAAAATCTTGAAATTTTGGAAACGTCAAATTGCAACTGTCAAAAATTTCAGTTATTTTCTTGTAATGACGGAAAAGAGAAATGAAAAAAAAATGTTTCACACATAAAATGTGTCAAATGTCAAATTCATAGAAGTGAAAATGTCAAAAAAAGCTTGATTTTTGAAGGTCCTTAAAAGTTCCACAAATTAATAATATTGGATTATTGAAAATAAAAAATCTTCGACGTCAAAATGTTGAAATTTTGGAAACGTCAAATTGCAACTGTCAAAAATTTCAGTTATTTTCTTGTGATAGAAAAGTGAAATGAAAAAATAAATGTTTCAGAAATAAAATGTGTCAAATGTCAAATTTATAGAAATGAAAATGTCAAAAATATCTTGATTTTTCAAGGTCATTAAAAGTTCAACAAATTAATAATATTAGATTATTGAAAATAAAAAACTTCGATGTCAAAATGTTGAAATTCTGGAAACGTCAAATTGCAACTGTCAAAATTTCAGTCATTTTCTTGTGATGGTAGAAAAGTGAAATGAAAAAATAAATGCTTCAGAAATAAAATGTGTCAAATGTCAAATTCATAGAAGTGAAAATGTCAAAAATATCTTGATTTTTCGAGGTCTTTAAAAGTTCCACAAATTAATAATAGTAGATTATTAAAAATAAAAAAACTTCGACATCAAAATGTTGAAATTTTGGAAACGTCAAATTGCAACTGTCAAAAATTTCAGTTATTTTCTTGTGATGACAGAAAAGTGAAATGAAAAAATAAATGTTTCAAAAATAAAATGTGTCAAATGTCAAATTCATAGAAGTGAAAATGTCAAAAAATCTTAATTTTTGAAAGTCCTTAAAAGTTCCACAAATAAATAATATCAGATTATTAAAAATAGAGATACTTCGTCGTCAAAATGTTGAAATTTTGGAAACGTCAAATTGCAACTGTCAAACATTTCAGTTATTTTCTTATGATGACAGAAAAGTGAAATGAAGAAAAATGCTTCAGAAATAAAATGTGTCAAATGTCAAATTCATAGAAGTGAAAATGTCAAAAATGTCTTGATTTTTGAAGGTCATTAAAAGTTCCACAAATTAATAATATTAGATTATTAAAAATAAAGATCCTTCGACGTCAAAATGTTGAAATTTTGGAAACGTCAAATTGCAACTGTCAAAAATTTCAGTTATTTTCTTGTGATGGTAGAAAAGTGAAATTAAAAAAAAATGCTTCAGAAATAAAATGTGTCAAATGTCAAATTCATAGAAGTGAAAATGTCAAAAAAATCTTGATTTTTGAAGGTCCTTAAAAGTTCCACAAATTAATAATATCAGATTATTAAAAATAAAGATACTTGGTTGTCAAAATGTAGAAATTTTGGAAACGTCAAATTGCAACTGTCAAAAATTTCAGTTATTTTCTTGTGATGGTAGAAAAGTGAAATGAAAAAATAAATGTTTCAGAAATAAAATGTGTCAAATGTCAAATTCATAGAAGTGAAAATGTTAAAAAAATCTTGATTTTTGAAAGTCCTTAAAAGTTCCAAAAATTAATAATATCAGATTATTAAAAATAAAGATACTTGGTCGTCAAAATGTAGAAATTTTGGAAACGTCAAATTGCAACTGTCAAAAATTTCAGTTATTTTCTTGTGATGGTAGAAAAGTGAAATGAAAAAATAAATGTTTCAGAAATAAAATGTGTCAAATGTCAAATTCATAGAAGTGAAAATGTCAAAAAAAATTGATTTTTGAAGGTCCTTAAAAGTTCCACAAATTAATAATATCAGATCATTAAAAATAAAGATACTTCGACGTCAAAATGTTGAAATTTTGGAAACGTCAAATTGCAACTGTCAAAAATTTCAGTTATTTTCTTGCGATGAGAGAAAAGTGAAATGAAAAAAAAATGCTTCAGAAATAAAATGTGTCAAATGTCAAATTTATCGAAGTGAAAATGTCAAAAATGTCTTGATTTTTGAAAGTCATTAAAAGTTCCACAAATTAATAATATTAGATTATTGAAAATAAAAAAACTTCGACGTCAAAATGTTGAAATTTTGGAAACGTCAAATTGCAACTGTCAAAAATTTCAGTCATTTTGTTGTGATGGTAGAAAAGTGAAATGAAAAAATAAATGTTTCGGAAATTAAAAGTGTCAAATGTCAAATTCATAGAAGTGAATATGTCAAAAATGTCTTGATTTTTCAAGGTCATTAAAAGTTCCACAAATTTATAATATTAGATTATTGAAAATAAAAAAACTCCGACATCAAAATGTTGAAATTTTGGAAACGTCAAATTTCAACTGTCAAAAATTTCTGTTATTTTCTTGTGATGATAGAAAAGTGAAATGAAAGAAGAAATGCTTCACAAATAAAATGTGTCTAACGTCAAATTCATCGAAGTGAAAATGTCAAAAATATCTTGATTTTTCAAGGTCATTAAAAGTTTAACATTCAAAATTGAAATTGTCAGATGTCAAAAATGTTGTAGTTTTAAAAAACGAAGTTTTTTTGTGTGAAGTGTCAAATTAATAAAACAGTGACAATTGTCAAAAATATTTTAATTTTTGATTATTAACGTATCGAAGACGTCAATTTTAACGAAAGAAGTTAAAAATTAGAACGCAATCTGTGTGAAAACGGAAATGTCAAAAAGACGTTGCCAACTTAAAAACGAAAAATTCATCAGAAATGAAAAATTAACAAAATTGTCAGTGTTTAAATTATCTTTGATGTTTCATAAATTAATAATTTCAGATGTACATATGAAAAAGACTTCAGCATCAAAGTGTTTAAATGTGTCAGATATCAACTGTCAAAAATTTCAATTATTTTATTGGATGAAGTGTCAAAATTATGCCAGGTTGAGCACGTCTAAAGTCATTAAATTCCAGAATCGATATGTTCAGTTGTCAAAAATGTTGTAGTTTTCAAAAATGAGATTTTTGTGTCAAGTGTCATATTAATAAAAAAGTGACAATGTCAAAAATATTTTGATTTTTGATTGATAGTGTATCGACGACATCAATTGAAACAAAAAAAAGTTAAAAATTAGAACGCAATCTGTCAAAGTGTCAAAAACTGAAATGTCAAAAAGACGTTACCAACTTAAAAACGAAAAATGTTTAATATATAATCTTTAATATTTTATAAATTAATAATTTCAGATGTACATATGAAAAAGACTTCAGTATAAAAATTTTTAAATGTGTCAGATATCAACTGTCAAAAATTTAAATTATTTTATTCGATGAAGTGTCTAAATGTCATAATTTAGACACTTCATCCAATAGGTTCAAGGTTTGGCACGTCCAAAGCATTAAATTCCAGATATGTTCCAGTTGTCAAAAATGTTATAGTTTTCAAAAATGAAGTTTCTTTGTGTCAAGTGTCAAATTAAGTGAAAATGTCAAAAATATTTTGATTTTTGATTGTTAATGTACCAAAGACGTCAATTTAAAAAAAAATTTAAAAATTGTAACTCAATCTGTCGAAGTGTCAAAAACTGAAACGTCAAACCTTGCCAACTTAAGAACAAAACATTCTTCAAAAATAAAAAATTAACAAAATTGTCAATGCTTAAATTGTCTTAGAAGCTCCACAAATTAATAATTTCAAATGTACATTTGAGAAAGACTTCAAAATATTTTTTTTTAAATGTGTCAAATTCCAACTGTCAAAAATTTCAGTTATTTTATTGGATGAATTGTCAAAATTGTGACAGATTGAACACGTGCAAAGTCGTGACAATCCAGAATTGATATGGTCAGCTGTCTAAAATGTTATAGTTATCAAAAATAAGTTCTTTGTGTCAAGTGTCAGATTCATAAAAAAGTGAAAATGTCAAAAATAATTTGATTTTTGATTGTTAATGTATCAAAGACGTCAATTTAAAAAAAAACTTAAAAATTATAACTCAATCTGTCAAAGTGTCAAAAACTGAAACGTCAAACGTTGCCAACTTAAGAACAAAACATTCTTCAAAAATAAAAAATGCACGTCTAAAGTGGTTAAAATCCAGAATTGATATGGTCAGTTGTCAAAAATGTTATAGTTATCAAAGATAAGTTTATTGTGTCAAGTGTCAAGTTAATAAAAAAGTGAAAATGTCAAAAATACTTTGATTTTTGATTGTTAATGAATCAAAGATGTCAATTAAAAAAATATATATATAATTCAATATGTCAAAGTGTCAAAAACTGAATCGTCAAAAGAACGTTGCTAACTTAAACAGAAAACATTCTTCATAAATAAAAGTTTAACAAAGTTGTCAATGCTTAAATTATTTTAAATGCTTCACAAATTAATAATTTCAGATGTACATATGAAACAGACTTCAAAATATTTTTTTTTTAAATGTGGCTGATTCCAACTGTCAAAAATGTCAGTTATTTTATTGGATGAAGCATCAAAACTATGACGAATTGATCACGTCTAAAGTCATTAAATCCAGAATTGATATGGTCAGCTGTCAAAAATGTTATAGCTATCAAAAACAAGTTTTTTGTGTCAAGTGTCAAATTAATAAAAACGTGGAAATCTCAAAAATATTTTGATTTTTCATTGTTAATGTATTAACAACGTCAATTTAAAAAAAAAGGTAAAAACTGCAACTCAATGTGTCAAAATGTCACAAACTGAAACGTCAAACGTTGCCAACTTAAGAACAAAATATTCTTCAGAAATAAAAAATTAACAAAATTGTCAATCCTTAAATTATCTTAAATGTTTCATAAATTAAAATTTCAGATTTACATAGGAAAAAGATTGCAAAATAATTTTTTTAAATGTGTCAGATTCCAACTGTCAAAAATTTTAGTTATTTTATTGGATGAATTGTCAAAATTAAGACAAATTGAATACGTCTAAAGTCATTAAAATCCAGAATTGATATGGTCAGCTGTCAAAAATGTGATAGTTATCAAAAATAAATTTTTTGTGTCAAGTGTCAAAGTAATAAAAAAGTGGAAATCTCAAAAATATTTTGATTTTTCATTGTTAATGTATCAAAAACGTCAATTTAAAAAAAAAGGTAAAAACTGCAACTCAATGTGTCAAAATGTCACAAACTGAAACGTTAAACGTTGCCAACTTAAGAAAAAAATATTCTTCAGAAATAAAAAATTAACAAAATTGTCAATCCTTAAATTATCTTAAATGTTTCATAAATTAAAATTTCAGATTTACATAGGAAAAAGATTGCAAAATAATTTTTTTAAATGTGTCAGATTCCAACTGTCAAAAATTTTAGTTATTTTATTGGATGAATTGTCAAAATTATGACAGATTGAATACGTCTAAAGTCATTAAAATCCAGAATTGATATGGTCAGCTGTCAAAAATGTGATAGTTATCAAAAATAATTTTTTTGTGTCAAGTGTCAAAGTAATAAAAAAGTGGAAATCTCAAAAATATTTTGATTTTTCATTGTTAATGTATCAAAAACGTCAATTTAAAAAAAAAGATAAAAATTGTAACTCAATGTGTCAAAATGTCACAAACTGAAACGTCAAACGTTGCCAACTTAAGAACAAAATATTCCTCAGAAATAAAAAATTAACAAAATTGTCAATGCTTAAATGATCTTAAATGTTTCATAAATTAAAATTTCAGATTTACATAGGAAAAGGGCTGCAAAATATATATTTTTTTAATGTGTCAGATTCCAACTGTCAAAAATTTTTCTTATTTTATTGGATGAATTGTCAAAATTATGACAAATTGAATACGTCTAAAGTCATTAAAATCCAGAATTGATATGGTCAGCTGTCAAAAATGTGATAGTTATCAAAAATAAGTTTTTTGTTTCAAGTGTCTATTAAATAAAAATGAAAATGTCAAAAATATTTTGATTTTTGTAGGTTAATGTATCGAAGACGTCAATTTAAAATAAAAGTAAAAAATTACAACTTCATCTGTCAAAGTGTCAAAAACTGAAACGTCAAAAGAACGTGCCAACTTAAAAAAAAAAAACTTCAGACCCCAAAAATTGATGAAATTGTCAATTTTTAGATATGTCAATTTAAGAAAAAAATTTAAATAATAAGAACGCACTTTGTCGAAGTGTCAAAAGTAAAAATGTCAAAGTCAAATCAAAAATGTTTTTATTTTCAAGTTATAAAATTGTGAAGTAAAAAAAGTACAAAATAATGTTTTTGGCAGACAGGGGGCAGGTGGGCCGAGGGGGCGTCAACGACGGCGACCTGTCGCCGACCAGCAACCAGTTGACGCGTTGGTTTTCGCCCGACCTTCTGGAAAGGGCCCGAGTGGGTGAGCTTCCGAGCACGGCCGGCCTCTCTCAGCACCTCCTCAGCCTGGAAGAAATCGAAAGACTCACGGCCCCACCAGTCCATAATTAAGTTTTCTTACTCAGTACCTGGCCTGTTCAACTCGTTCTATATTTTTGTGGCAACCAACGGTGAGTGTTCTTTTGAAAAATAAATAATTTTCGCAATAAACTCCGATAAAATAAAATGACTGTCTCGTTTCTGTCGTTTCAGGTTATTACTATAATTTTAAAAGTATCAATGTCAACGAAAGGACTATTCCACTAGTGGTGATGACAAAAATCATAAAAAAATATTGTTCGTAGCTGATGACGTGTCAAATGATTGTTTTTTGGTTCTCGGAATACTCACGACCGCCGGCTCGCGACAAACCCGATCCTTTGAAAATGTAATTTTTGTAAATAGCCATGAAAAATGATTCAATTGTGATAGTCGTAGTAAGTTGGGTCGGGTTTGTGGCACCCGGGCCGGTCGCAAAGAGGTCGATAAAGCTCCATAGATGTGTCTCTGTGTGAAATAGCACGTTTTCGTTTCCTCGTGTCGAGTTTGGTTTCTGTGTTTAGGTGGGATTTTGGAAAAGCGATTCATTTCTTATAATAGTTCGGTAAAGAGTTTCAGTTGCTGTTTGATGTTTTCTTAGGATTTTTCGTTTGGTTTTGGTGTTGATTCGATTCAAGTCGGAGCTTTAGACGCCGTTCGCTGTTTAAACAAGAATATATTATATAATATACACATATAAACGTACAATGTAAGAACATACTGTACTACTGTTAATTAAGTATATATAAGGAACTGATGATGATGATGTTTTTAATTTGTGTTCTTTTATCGAAATTCGGAGGCGCACTTGCGCGTTTTAACTTCCGTTTTGTCTTGACAACCGTCTTAAATTCAATGCGACGCTGGTAACAGTGCATTTCTGTCAAGAACGAAAATTTGTTGCAACAGAAAATTAAACATTCCGTTCGCGTGTTATTTATTCTATTCATGATCATTTCAGCTTTGTGTGTACATTCTTTCTTTCGAAAAAAAGATGTGACTAAATTCTGTCAGACTCATTTTCGTCCGTTCAATTATTTGTCTCTCTCAAGCTTGCATGAGTTTTATTTTTAAAAATCAATCAAATGTCATGTAACTATCGACATATTTTGTTTTCAAGTCAATAAAAAAAGCAAACATTCGGCGAGAGTTTCATTACGAACGAACCTCCATCCACACGTCTCCTTTGACTATTCCTTTTTTCCGGTTTCGTAAACGTCACCATGGAGACGGACCAATTAGAGGTAAGTACAATGAAAACGTTGGATATTCAGTGATTATTTTATTTAAGTGTAAACGAGAGCGCTAACAAGGCGGGCAAAAAATTGTTTGTGTCGGGTTTATCTAGTTTTTTGGGTCAGAATCGACTGTTTTTTGTCAAATTAGCCAGAATTTCCAGTGGAGTTGGTAAACAGCGACGAAAGTTTTGTGAAATTGTGTCTTAAAAAATTATTAAGTAGTGTCCAGTGCTTGACAAGTGACTTAAATGTCAAATGGTGCCACATTTCCTGGGAATATTTTGACAAAACCTGCAGAGTTAAGTTTTCGCAGTGTTTTTGTTTTCTTGTGGATGACAAAATTTGGGATAAACAAAATACAGCCTACTGTAGATTTATTTATAAATTAAAAAAATCGCTAAATAGTCACAAAATGCTATTTTCTAACTCGATTAAGCAGTGGTTTTGTTGTCCTGTGGGGATCTTTATTTGGCTGTCGTGTGTTACGAGGAAATTAACGCTCGTCCTCGACTCGCGTTAGTGAACAAAACAGGAGTCCACTTCTTCAAATTATCAAATAGCGTATTTTCTCGATCTTTCATGATCCCTAGAGTACGAAGAAAATTGTACATAGTAAATGGGTTTTAAATTGTATAAAATAACATAGTTTATGACTCTGTGCTGAGTTTTTACCCAAAAGGTCCGGATTTTTTGAAAAAATCAAAATTTTTGAGAGATGTTTTAAAGTTATCACAAGTATGGTACATTTTTGAAAGACCAAAGTTGAACGCCTCTTCGACGAATATGCTTTACAATGACTTTTAACTATACAGAGTGTTCAGTTTTTAAGGCGTCACAACGTATTTTTTTTATGAAATACCCTATAATTTTTACATATTTTGTTGGACCTCTTACAACCACAGTTTATTTTTGAAATTCCGAAGCCAGGTTGCCACGTTATTCTAATTTTCTTGTAAAGTAAAAAATTGCCGAAAGTGTTTCAACAGAACTTCCCTCGCTCCTGAAGTAGAATGAAACATAAAAAATAAACATCCAATCAGATCTGGAAATTCAACCCGTTACTATGGAAATTTGCAATTTAACACGTTTTTACAAGATTAATAGAACCAAAAACAGTCTTATCTTAGCAAGTACTAGCCCCGCCCACCCGCCCCCTGTTTTCTCAGGGGTTATGTCATCTGCCAAAATCAGACTGATGTTAGCAAGGAGTCGCCCCGCCCACCCACCCACCCTTTACTTTCTTAAAGTATGTTTTTTCCAAAATGAGTCATATCTTACCAAATACTAGACCCGCCCACTATTTTCTCAGAGGGGATATATCATTTGCCAAAATAAGGCTTCAGTCAGCAAGTACTAGCCCCGCCCACCCACCCTTTATTTTCTCAGAGGGTAGTACTTGCTAAGATAGGTCTTATTTTGGCAGATGACATATCCTGCGAGAAAGTAGGGGCGGGTGGGCGAGGCTAGTTCTTGTTCAGATAAGACTGATTTTGGCAAATCACATACCTTCCAAGAAAATAGAGGGTGGGTGGGTGGGGCTATTACTTGCTCAGATAAGACTGATTTTGGCAATCGCCATATCCTCTGAAAAAATAATGGGCGGGTGGGCGGGGCTAGTACTTGCTCAGAAAAGACTGATTTTGGCAAATAATATACCGTTTAAAAAAATTCGCCGAAAGCCCTTTCGACAAAACTTCCCTCCCACCTAAAGTACAATGAAATATATCCAGCATTTATTTTTGCGTTGACTTTTTACTTTACAAAATTATTTGATCACGTCATCAACATTTTTGCAAGGACAGATATATCAACTTGGATTGGTGAACTGTAATACTGAAAATAACAGTATTGTATTCCCAAAATATTCTGGGAAAATCGAGTCAGCCGTTCCTGATTTAATCAATAAAATAAATTGACACATTGATTAATTTTTCTGAGCAAATCTAAAAAATATGTGATAAATCACAAGTAAAAACTCATCATATTTTGCACATTTCGGGTAGACTTGGGAATTTAACTACCTACTACTATGAAAATTGACTATTTAACACCTTTAAATTAAGTTTTTACAAGATTAATATGGGCAAAATCAGTTTTATCTTAACAAATACTAGGCCCGCCCACCCGCCCCCTCTTTTCCCAGAGGATGTCATTTGCCGAAATCAGTCTTGTCTTACCAAGTACTAGCCCCGCCCACCAGCCCCTCTTTTCTTACAGGATATGTCATCTGCCAACATAAGAATTATGTTAGCAAGTACTAGCCCCGCCCACCCACCCTTTACTTTCTTAGAATATGTCATTTTCCAAAATCAGTCATATCTTACCAAATACTAGACCCGCCCACTATTTTCTCAAAGGAAATATCATTTGCCAAAATAAAACTCATGTTAGCAAGTACTAGCCCCCGCCCACCCGTCCTTTATTTTCTCAGATGGTAGTACTTGCTAAGATAGGTCTTATTTTGGCAGACGACATATCCTGTGAGAAAATAGGGGCGGGTGGGCGGGGCTAGTTCTTGCTCAGATAAGACTGATTTTGGCAAATGTGATGTTTTTTGCGAACCCTTCCATTGTCAAAAATTTCAAGAAAATTAGAATGACGTGGCAACGTCGCACCGTGATTTCAAAAATAAACTATGAGGTAAATCAAAATATGTAAAGATATACAGGTGTTTCATAAAAAAAGGTGTGTTACTTCTTAAAAACAGAACACTCTGTATAGTTAGTTCTATTTCTAATAGTGACTCATCCTATGGATACTACCTATCTTGATATGTTATTATCTACAAAAAAAAAATAAGTTTACATATCTAGTGACTATTGATGTTTGTTTTTTTTTCAGGTTGGCGACATATTTAAAATTTTTTAGTTTTTACAAGATTAGGGGCAAAATCAATCTTATCTTAGCAAATGCTAGCCCCGCCCACCCGCCCTCTATTTTCTTGGAAGGTATGTGATTTGCCAAAATCAGTCCTATCTGGGCAAGTACTAGCCCCACCCACCCACCCTCTATTTTCTTGGAAAGTATGTGATTTGCCAAAATCAGTCTTATCTGAACAAGAACTAGCCCCGCCCACCCGCCCCTGTTTTCTCACAGGATATGTCATCTGCCAAAATAAGACTTATCTTAGCAAATAGTACCCCCTGAGAAAATAAAGGGTGGGTGGGCGGGGCCAATATTTGCTAACTTAAGTCTTATTTTGGCAAATGATATATCCTCTGAAAATACAGGGGGAGGGTGGGTTGGACTAGTACTTGCCAAGATAAAACTTATTCCTTATTACCTAATATTACATTCATATTTTTTAGATTTGTTTATACAGAGGGTTCAAAAAAATTAATCAATGTGTCAATTTATTTTATTGATTAAATCAGGAATTAAGGGTGGGTGGGCGGGGCTAGTACTAAGGTAAAACTAATTTTGGCAGATGTCAGTGACTATTAATGTTTCTGTTTTTTTTTTGTCAGGTCAGGTCAGGTTCTGTTTTTTTTTTGCCAGGTTGGCGACATATTTAAATTTTTTTAGTTTTTACAAGGTTAGTAGGGGCAATATCAATCCTATCTTAGCAAGTAGCCCCGCCCACCCGTCCTCTATTTTCTCAGAGGGTACGGCGTTTGCCAAAATCAGTCTTATCTGAGCAAGTACTAGCCCCACCCACCCGCCCTCTATTTTCTTGGAAGGTATGTGATTTGCAAAAATCTGTCTTATCTGAACAAGAACTAGCCCCGCCCACCCGCCCCTATTTTCTCACAGGATATGTCGTATGCCAAAATAAGACCTATCTAAGCAAGTACTACCATCTGAGAAAATAAAGGACGGGTGGGTGGGGGCTAGTACTTGCTAACATAAGTTTTATTTTGGCAAATGATATTTCCTTTGAGAAAATAGTGGGCGGGCCTAGTATTTGGTAAGATATGACTGATTTTGGAAAATGACATACTCTAAGAAGGTGAAAGGTTGGGGGGCGGGGCTAGTGCTTGCTAACATAAATCTGATTTTGGCAGATGACATATCCTGTAAGAAAATAGGGGCGGGTGGGCGGGGTTAGTACTTGGTAAGATAAGACAGATTTCGGCAAATGACATCCTCTGGGAAAATAGGGGGCGGGTGGGCGGGCCTAGTATTTGTTAAGATAAAACTGATTATGCCCATATTAATCTTGTAAAAACTTGTGAGATTTAAGGGTGTTAAATAGCCAATTTTCATAGTAGTAGGTAGTTAAATTCCTAAGTCTACCCGAAATGTGCAAAATATTATGAGTTTTTACTTGTGATTTATCACATATTTTTTAGATTTGCTTGTACAGGTGGCTCGGAAAAATGAATCAATGTGTCAATTTATTTTATTGATTAAATCAGGAACGACTCACTCCATCTTCCCAGAAAATTTTAGGAACACAATACTGTTATTTTCAGTATTACAGTGCACCAATCCAAGTTGATATACGTGTCCTTGCAAAAATGTTGATGACGTAATCAAATAATTTTGTAAAGTAAAAACACAACGCAAAAATGCTGGATATATTTCATTGTACTTTAGGTGGGAGGGAAGTTTTGTCGAAAGGGCTTTCGGCGAATTTTTTAGAAGGTATATTATTTGCCAAAATCAGTATTTTCTGAGCAAGTACTAGCCCCGCCCACCCGCCCATTATTTTCTTGGAAGCTATGTGATTTGCCAAAATCAGTCTTATCTGAACAAGAACTAGCTCCGCCCACCCGCCCTATTTCCTCACAGGATATATCATTTGCCAAAATAAGACCTATCTTAGCAAGTACTACCCTCTGAGATAATAAAGGGTGGGTGGGCGGGGCTAGTATTTGCTAACATAAGTCTTATTTTGGCAAATGATATTTCCTCTGAGAAAATAGTGGGCGGGTCTAGTATTTGGTAAGATATGACTGATTTTGGCAGATGACATACTCTAAGAAAGGAACGGGTGGGTGGGCGGGGCTAGTCCCTGCTAACATAAGTCTGATTTTGGCAGATGACATATCCTCTGAGAAAACAGGGGGCGGATGGGCGGTTCTGGTACTTGTTAAGATAAAACTGTTTTTGGTTCTATTAATCTTGTAAAGACGTGTTAAATTTAAAAGGCGTTAAATTGCAAATTTCCATAGTAACGAGTTGAATTCCCAGATCTGATTGGATGTTTATTTTTTGTTTCATTCTACTTCAGGAGCGAGGGAAGTTCTGTTGAAACAAATTTCGGCAATTTTTTACTTTACAAGAAAATTAGAATGACGTGGCAACCTCGCATCGGAATTACAAAAATAAACTAGTTGTAAGAGGTCCAACAAAACATGTTAAAATTAAAGGGTATTTCATAAAAAAAATACGGTGTGTCAGACTTTAAAAACTGAATACTCTGTATAGTTAAAAATTATTGTAAAGCATATTCGTCGAAGAGGCGCCACTTTTTTTCTATCTGTAATAATTAATAAGATATCGAGGACAACACGCTTAGTGACTCACCCTGTATGTTTCCCTATTGTTTAAATTTTTTTGTAGGTGATACCAATTATCTAGGTATTAAGGGTATAAAGTGTGACTTTGAATTAAACCAAAATAGGCATCTAACAATGGTTGAGTGATAATTTCACAATATACAGGGTGGGTCACCAAAAAAATCACTAAGCGCGTGTTCCTCAGTATCTCATTATTAAACACATATACAGAGTGTTTTGTTTTTAAAGCGTAACACAACTTAGTTCTTTCAAATGAAATACCCTATACATTTTTATATATTCCGGTCGATCTTTTCTTAGGCTTCACAATCATAGTTTAATTTCGAAATTCTGATGCCCGACGTTGCCAAGTTGTTCCAATTTTCTTGATTTGTTTAGCAACGGATTTCATAAAAAAAAAAGATTTAAAAATCTGGGTAACAATACTTTGTGAGATTAATGAAAATGTGCACTTTATTGTGATAAAAATAAAATTGGGTTTTAATATACAGGGTGTTTATAAAAAGTTGTTTTAGGATATCGAGATTTAAGTTTTTCAAATAGAATATCTTGTACTTTATTGCTGTTGAGAAGGCTCTGAAAAACTCTAAATAAATTGTTAAAAAAGCGTTTGCCAAAATCAGTCTTATCTTAGCAAGTAGTAGTCCCGCCCACCCGCCCGTATTTTCTTGCAGGATATATCATCTGCCAAAATAAGATCTGTCTTCACAAATACTCTGAGAACAAAGACTTATTTCTCACTACCTGTGACTTATCATTGCATTCATATTTTTTAGATTTGCAGGTGGCTCAAAAAAATTAATGAATGTGTCAATTTATTTCATTGATTAAATCAGGAACGGCTCAATCGATTTTCGCAGAAAATTTTGGGAATACGATACTGTTATTTTCATTATTACAGTGCACCAATCCAAACTGATATACGTATCCTTGCAAAAATGTTGATGACGTCATCACAAAGTTCTGTGAAGTAAAAACTCGACTCAAAAATGCTAAATATGTTTCACTGTACTTTCGGTCCGAGGGAAGTTCTGTCGAAACAGCTTTCGACCGATTTTTTCCAGGAATCCAGCGTTTTTATCGAGGCGTTGGTCGAGTTTAACAATCAACTTTCTCGTACGAGCGATTATTTTGCAAAAACGTCAAGTTAAATTTTTTACAATCGTCCAGTTAATCAGACGATACGGGTCGGGTATTTTTTTAATTACGTTTATTAAAAGTGTGAAGACTTTATTGCACTGATTTTGAAAATTTTGTTTTACTTTTCCAAGTTGGCAAGAATCGTTTTCACCCTTATTAAAAAGTCGTCATAACTAAGACTCTTGTAATCTTCTCCATATTTTCTTTCCACAGTTTAAGCTTGAGTTAATTTTGGTTGTACCAGTTCAAGTGGATTTCTTTTTCTGTTCCAGTTTATTCAAAGTTGACAAGCCATTTTCACCTTTAAAGACAGTAACAATGGGTTAATATTCTTGATACACAATACATAATTGCGACTTTTACCTTGGTTTAAATGAAGGTTTAATTTCCGTATTACACCAGGATTTTGTGTTTTGTTGACAGTTTTAGCATAAAATACAGTAATCCGCGACACATTACGACCTCTAATGATTCTTTAACCCGGCCAACGCCTCGTCCAAAAACTTCGTCTCATCGTACAATATCTATGGGAAAAATTCTCGATATGACTGTGAAGCTTGAACAATAAAGGAACGTTAAACATTTCGGATAAACCAATTGTAAACAGGAAAAGTCACACTTGTGTAACAAACTAAACCTTCCTTTCACATTCATAGCTTCACATGACTAATAAAATAAACAATCTGCAACCGACGTATTTAATTATTTTTCCACTGGATTACCTTTTCCATTTTCAACAACACTTTCACGGGTTTGTTTTCCCAATCTTACAACTTTACACTGAATTGGTATGCAGGTCATGCGACGCGTTGCCAATTCAAACAATAGCTTCCTGGCCATCACACACGTCATAATCAACCAGACAACGCAATACTGGGGGCAAACTCCAGCAATTGTGTAAAAATCTGGCCAATCAGACGCTTTTTCCCCAATAACTGCAAAAGTAAGGTAAATAACTGACTCCAGAACAACAAACCCATTTTTATTATAAACAATCTAAGAATTAAAAGTCGCTTCCTGTCTATCTGTCACTTTCACTCGAAATTCGATACCAATCGAAATGGGTGTTGACCCCATTAAAACAACAGTCGCGTTCCATTTATCAAAGGTCAACGTAACCTTGTCCATTTCACGTCCATTTCGACCCATCTACCTGCTTTACCCGCGCGAAAGCGAAACCCAGCTGCTCGCCCAGATAACGAATTAACCCAGCTTAGCCTGGGTTTTAACCCATCTTATCACACGACAAAGGTACATTTAACTGTATTTCAACCCACAATCACTACCACTCCGCACCCAACTCGCTAAACTGCCAACTGTGAAACGTCGTCTTTCCAATACTTTCCGTCGCCTACTACGTGTTTCGCCGCTCGGCAACTTCCGGGATCGTTCGTCGCCGACCAGCTCTCGTTCCCGCTTATCCTACGCCAGTAACGACAAGTCGGCTGTGGAATCGCTAGGACGTTGCCATCGGCGTCAGAATTCTCGAGAAAAGTGCACCGAGTCCCGGTTTGGTGGTTGTGTTCCCGTTGAGTGATAAAGGAAGTGTCGGGAAAAGGTACTGCGAAATGGGACGGTTATTGGAACGGCTTGGGTGGAGTGGCGCTGCGAGCGGCGGCGGCGACGCGAACTAGCCGAGCTCTAACGACAAGAATTATTTATTGAAGGGCGCAGCAAAATGGCCGACGAAGAGTACAACAGGAAGCTGGAGAGCCTCCAGCAGTATATCCCGTTCCTGAATAACATGATCGCGCAGCTGAAGGACCCCAGGAAGAAGAACAGGGAGCAGCAGCTGGCGAAGATGGTGTCCTTGCATTCGATGATCACGGACAAAAAGAAAAAGTGAGTAGGGCGAAGGGGGCTCCGGCCGGGCCGCGCATGCGGGGTAGATGTGTGTTGAGCGATTTTACTGTGTAGTGGAAGTGGCTCAAATCTCGACGCAAATACACGTTTTTGTGAGGTTTGAGGCACGGAATACTATATAAAGGGATTGCTGATCAATATGTAGTGTATTATTTAGGCAAGTAAATGGAGAAAACACCAAAATCGAGAAAATTACATATAATTTCGTCTGACTTTTGTGGAACAAGGTGACAAATTAACAAAATTTTCTTTTGTTTGGTGTTTTCTATTACTCAATTGTGGCTGTTGGGTGAGACGTTTCGTGAGTGAGGAAAGGAAAGAGAGGATGTATTTTTATTTGTTTTTATTTTTTAATTATTTGTTTTGAGTTTCCCTTATTTTTTATTTATTTATTTATTTTAAGTATCGTTTTATGTTGTATAAATTGTGCACCTGTATAGAAGACATCTATGGTCAGTTTCAAAAATTTGTTTGGTCATTTAAAGCAAAGAGAAAGATGTCATAGTATTTTTTGTTGTTTTAAGTAACGTTATTTATGACATACAGTGTGTTTGAAAACAATGTATCACCCTGAAGGGGCAGACTTAGAACGCCGAAATTTTGTAGAAACAAGTAAGATTCTGAGTGGCACTTTGTCGTAGGAGCATTTTCCCGTTCTACGTCTTCTTCCTGTCAATCTCAATGGAAAGTGGCAGATCACCTTGAAAATTTAATCAATTGTTAGACTTTGTGTCTTATTGTTATACAATTTCAGCGTTATAAGCGCTCATTCAAGGTGATACTTTTTTGAAACTCAGTGTATATTGTCCTCTGTAAAGTTAGGTCTTGGTTCAAATCGAAGTTGAAAATTTTATGTCAAAGACGTCAGAGACAATATTTTGTAAAGAGAGAAAAGAATCTACGTACTATATTAGACGAAATATGGAAGAGAATAATTTTTTTGGTGACGGAGAACAACTTCAAGAATCTATCGAACTAGTAAAAATGAAAATAACTTTGACTAAACTCGGGTGTAAGCTAGGAATCGCGGCAGATACGATTAATGGTCAATACTTTTTTGATTAAAATTAGCTCCAAGGTGTACAAAAATCATTTTAGAAAAGGAGACAAAGAATTTGGGTTTAAATTATAGAGAAGAAATTTCATACTGAAAAGTATCTAAGCTGTGGCTTGCCCAAAATGAAGAGGAAACCAATAATTCGTGCCTTCTTAGCGAGTTAAAAGGAGATAGATATATAAGGTTTAGCGTTTTATAAGGTTACCTGAACTACTAAACAGACAAAAAAATCAATTCAGTGTGCTAAACTATTGTACAGAATCGTCAATTTTTGGTATTTTTATGCCATTCGTGGTCTCAAGTACCTACAATACTGCATTAAAATTAGTCCTTGTAACGTTGGTACTATGATGGAACATCTAATAGACCAAAGATTGAAATTCTTTATAAAGTTTTCAATGGTTCTGTGACAAGTGCTAACTTATTTTGAATAAATCTGTAGTACCTTGTCCCAAAATAAGAGAGTAATTTTTTTACAAAATACATTCAAATCGAAAACCATGTGATCTATACATTTAGAATGAATAGCGGAGGAAAACAACAAAAATAATTCCTAAAATTTATCGTACTTATGTTAATCACTTTTGTCCAAGAATTAGAAATGTGTACAATAGACATCCCCACTTAAAATGATTCGGGTTTTAACAAAGGTAAAGTCTTTGTGATCATAAATTCTATAACGACGAGAAGGAAAACGTGAAATAAGTGGTCTGCGATAGCATTGACCTGAAAAGGTACTGAAAAGTATCTAATTTCTGGGTTGATTAAAATAAAGAGGAAACGAATAAGATATGCCTTCTTAGCGAGTTGAACAGAGATAGAGATATATTATATGGTCTAGTCTTCTTATAGGATTATCTAAACTAGGTAGATAGACAGAAGAATCAATTGAGTGGACTAGACAAAAGTACAGACGAGTGATAATTTCTCTGGTACTTTTATGGCATTCGTGGTCCGAAGTACCTACAATACCGCATTAAAATAATTAACCTTGAATGGAGACTGATGGAAGATCTATTAGACCAAAGTTTGAAATTCTTGATTAAGTTGGCAATGGTTCTGCGACAATTGTTAACTTAATTGGAATAAACGTGTGGTACTTTTTCCTAAAATAAGAGAGTGATTTTTTTACAAAACAAATTTAAATCGCAAATCACATAATGTAAACATGCCAAGAAGAAAGTACTTTGTTCGAGAATGAAAAAAATAATTGAACTTGATTATTGTACAAATTTATTTTAAAGCTAAGGACTATGAATACAACATATTCTGAATACCATTTACGCAAGTTGGGTCTAGATTACCAAGAAGCGATTTAGAATGAGTAGCAGACGACGAAAACAACAAAAATCATTCTTTAAATTTATGGTACTTTGCTGTTTACGTTTTTCCAAGAATTAGAAATGTGTAGAATAGATATCGAGACAAAAATTTGGGTTTTAATTATTCAGAAGAAATTTCGTTTCGACTATTGTAACGAAGTTTAGGAGAACTAAATCTCATATATCCTGGTGTATAGTCATAGCGTAAGAAAATTATGCTTTTGATTTTGGATTTTAATTGAGGCATCCTCGATTAAAGTTGTTTGGGTTTTATGAAAGGTAAAGTCTTTGTGATCATAAATTCTATAACGACGAGAAGGAAAACGCGAAATAAGTGGTCTGCGATAGCATTGACCTGAAAAGGTACTGAAAAGTATCTAATTTCTGGGTTGACTAAAACAAAGCGGAAACGAATAAGATATGCCTTCTTAGCGAGTTGAACAGAGATAGAGATATATTATATGGTCTAGTCTTCTTATAGGATTATCTAAACCAGGTAGATAGACAGAAGAATCAATTCAGTGGACTAGACAAAGATACAGAAGAGTGATAATTTCTCTGGTACTTTTATGGCATTCGTGGACTGAAGTACCTACAATACCGCATTAAAATAATTAACCTTGAATGGAGACTGATGGAAGATCTATTAGACCAAAGTTTGAAATTCTTGATTAAGTTGGCAACGGTTCTGCGACAATTGTTAACTTAATTGGAATAAATGTGTAGTCCTTTTTCCTAAAATAAGAGAGTGATTTTTTTACAAAACAAATTTAAATCGCAAATCACATAATATGTATAAACATACCAAGAAGAAAGTACTTCGTTCGAGAATGAAAAAAATAGTTGAACTTGATTATTATTGTACAAATTTATGTTAAAGCTAAGGACTATGAATACGACAGATTCTGAATACGATTTACGTAAGTTGGGTCTAGATTACCAAGAAGCGATTCAGAATGGGTAGCAGACGACGAAAACAACAAAAATAATTCTTTAAATTTATAGTACTTTGCTGTTTACGTTTTTCCAAGAATTAGAAATGTGTAGAATAGATATCGAGACAAAAATTTGGGTTTTAATTATTCAGAAGAAATTTCGTTTCAACTATTGTAACGAAGTTTAGCAGAACTAAATCTCATATCCTGGTGTATAGTCATAGCGTAAGAAAATTATGGTTTTGATTTTGGATTTTAATTGAGGCATCCTCGATTAAAGTTATTTGGGTTTTATGAAAGGTAAAGTCTTTGTGATCATAAATTCTATAACGACGAGAAGGAAAACGTGAAATAAGTGGTCTGCGATAGCATTGACCTGAAAAGGTACTGAAAAGTATCTAATTTCTGGGTTGACCAAAATAAAGAGGCAACGAATAAGATATGCCTTCTTAGCGAGTTGAAAAGAGATAGAGATATATTATACGGTCTAGTCTTCTTATAGGATTATCTAAACTAGGTAGATAGACAGAAGAATCAATTCAGTGGACTAGACAAAAGTACAGAAGAGTGATAATTTCTCTGGTACTTTTATGGCATTCGTGGTCCGAAGTACCGACAATACTGCATTAAAATAATTAACCTTGAATGGAGACTGATGGAAGATCTATTAGACCAAAGTTTGAAATTCTTGATTAAGTTGGCAACGGTTCTGCGACAATTGTTAACTTAATTGGAATAAATGTGTGGTACTTTTCCCTAAAATAAGAGAGTGATTTTTTTACAAAACAAATTTAAATCGCAAATCACATAATGTAAACATACCAAGAAGAAAGTACTTCGTTCGTGAATGAAAAAAATAATTGAACTTGATTATTGTACAAATTTATGTTAAAGCTAAGGACTATGAATACGACATATTCTGAATACCATTTACGCAAGTCGGGTCTAGATTACCAAGAAGCGATTTAGAATGGGTAGCAGACGACGAAAACAACAAAAATCATTCTTTAAATTTATGGTACTTTGCTGTTTACGTTTTTCCAAGAATTAGAAATGTGTAGAATAGATATCGAGACAAAAATTTGGGTTTTAATTATTCAGAAGAAATTTCGTTTCGACTATTGTAACGAAGTTTAGGAGAACTAAATCTCATATATCCTGGTGTATAGTCATAGCGTAAGAAAATTATGCTTTTGATTTGGGATTTTAATTGAGGCATCCTCGATTAAAGTTGTTTGGGTTTTATGAAAGGTAAAGTCTTTGTGATCATAAATTCTATAACGACGAGAAGGAAAACGCGAAATAAGTGGTCTGCGATAGCATTGACCTGAACAGGTACTGAAAAGTATCTAATTTCTGGGTTGACCACAATAAAGCGGAAACGAATAAGATATGCCTTCTTAGCGAGTTGAAAAGAGATAGCGATATATTATATGGTCTAGTCTTCTTATAGGATTATCTAAAACAGGTAGATAGACAGAAGAATCAATTCAGTGGACTAGACAAAAGTACAGACGAGTGATAATTTCTCTGGTACTTTTATGGCATTTGTGGTCTGAGATTTATTAGACCAACTTTTGAAATTCTTGATTAAGTTGGCAATGGTTCTGCGACAATTGTTAACTTAATTGGAATAAATGTGTGGTACTTTTTCCTAAAATAAGA